TGGCAGATGCTTCGGACTAATGTATTTTGTTTGTAATTTTATAAGATATCCTGACAGTGTGTACTTGGTTTTAGTATGTTAATTGCGTATACGCTCGAATAACTGAACAAAAACGTTTCGATTTACATGTATATCCCAAATTGAATCGAGACGAAAGCCACTTCGTTATCTTGGAAGATGATGAATCTGGACATTATCAAATATTCAAATAATTTCAGGTGGAGAGTATAATCGAGATGATTTGCCACACTGCACCAAAGTCAACCCAGCAGAAACCTGGAACACAGACGAACCTAGCGGATATTTTCTTAATGGTATTTACTATTCAACTAAGTGTCGTTCGGGCTCCTCTCGGCCGAATATAACTCATTGCCTTCAAAATACAAGACTTATTTTACATGGTGATTCTACAGTTCTACAGTGGATAAAATTATTGAGACGGATTTCCGGTTGTATTTTAAATAAAAATTACCATGGTGGAAAATGGTACGAAGAGATGGTTTGTGAAAAAAAAGATTTGGGCTTTTCGCTGAAATTCGCTCCTCATAACATGCCCTTTTCGTGTTTTCTAAACACAAAACATAAAGTTGCTCCAGCTACAAAATCAATAGAGACAGTATTAAACGAAATCCCTTCAACGGGGCGAACTATATTTGTATTACATTTTGGGACACATTTTACACGACAACATTATAATGTATTCAGACAAAAAATCATTCAACTCAGAAATGCTCTTAAAAAAACTTTGGGTCGAAATAAAGATTTGACAATTTTGATTAAAGGACCTCACACATTTCGATGTGTTGGTTGGGTACCGACCGTTCACGACGCTTTGATTCCTCATCTAATAACTATCTTAATTGACGAGCTAACTGAATTCTCTGATCGTGTTTTCTACTTGAATTATTATGATATGTCTGTAGCTGCCAAAAACAAAGACATTCACGCTGGTCAGGATTTCATTAGAAATATGATAGAAACAATGTTAACTTATACATGTAAATAAAACTAAAATGAAATGGAGTGTTATTTCCTTTACCCCGTTAAATTTCTTATATATATATGCAGATAGGTAACGCCATGCAGTGTGGAGTGAGGCAAATTTTTCCAGGGAAGTGAATGATCTGACAAAACAGTTCTGAAGGATTATAGCACCTGAACAATTATTCAATTGCAAAGTAGTGGTATTAGAGGTGACTGTTTAAGCAGTGTCCGTATGAATTGTGATGGTATTAAAGGTGACTGTTTGAGTAGTGTCTGTATGAATAGTGATGGTATTAGAGGCGACTGTTTGAGTAGTGTCTGTATGAATAGTGATGGTATTAGAGGTGACTGTTTGAGAAGTGTCTGTATGAATAGTGATGGTATTAGAGGTGACTGTTTGAGTAGTGTCTGTATGAATAGTGATGGTATTAGAGGTGACTGTTTGAGAAGTGTCTGTATGAATAGTGATGGTATTAGAGATGACTGTTTGAGCAGTGACTGTATGAATAGTGATGGTATTAGAGGTGACTGTTTGAGCAGTGTCTGTATGAATAGTGATGGTATTAAAGGTGACTGTTTAAGCAGTGACTGTATGAATAGTGATGGTATTAGAGGTGACTGTTTAAGCAGTGTTTGTATGAATTGTGATGGTATTAGAGGTGACTGTTTGGGCAGTGTCTGTATGAATAGTGATGGTATTAGAGGTGACTGTTTAAGCAGTGTCTGTATGAATAGTGATGGTATTAGAGATGACTGTTTGGGCAGTGTCTGTATGAATAGTGATGGTATTAGAGGTGACTGTTTAAGCAGTGACTGTATGAATAGTGGTGATATTAGAGGTGACTGTTTGGGCGGTGACTGTATGAATAGTGATGGTATAAGAGGTGACTGTTTAAGCAGTGTCTGTATGAATAGTGGTGATATTAGAGGTGACTGTTTGGGCGGTGACTGTATGAATTGTGATGGTATTAGAGGTGACTGTTTGGGCAGTGTCTGTATGAATAGTGATGGTATTAAAGGTGACTGTTTGAGCAGTGACTGTATGAATTTTGATGGTATTAAAGGTGACTGTTTGGGCAGTGTCTGTATGAATAGTGATGGTATTAGAGGTGACTGTTTGAGCGGTATCTGTATGAATAGTGATGGTATTAGAGGTGACTGTTTGAGCAGTGTCTGTATGAATAGTGGTTGAATATTTAGGCCATTAAAATTTACAGTTTGAAGTTGGTCCAGCCAATAACTCTCGCATTGTATTCTTCTTTACTTAGGCTTGATATTAGGCATAGATTGTAACCTTTTCAATTGGCATAATCAACAAGTCTTCAATGGAATGGTCGGGTTGATTAAAGTGAAATTTTGCCATGTACGATATCGTAACGATGGTCGTTAAAACGAGTTAGCAGCGCGGTCTTTCTTTCTCCAATATACTGTCTCGCATTTTTAGATAAAATAAGGTAAATAAGATTTTTGGTCTCCGCATGAAATTTTGTCAGTCATGAATTTTTTTTTTATGTTTTATTGTTTATAAAGAAATGAGAAATAAGTAGGCGTATGTTCGCATGTATCAGTCTTATTAAAAGTCATTTTAATATCCATTTCGGAAGTTTTTTCGAAATAGTTGTCAAATAGGGCGCAGACTGATTTAATAGGGAGACTACTGTCAGTTATTTGATTGAATATACTTAATAGTTGTTATCTCCCTTGAAAGCGATTGACAGAAAAATCGAACGGAAAATCCTAGACTGTACCCTTTTCGTAGATAGCAGACAGTAAGCTCAGTCCCGAACAGAATATGCAGGACCCTAACTACAAGGCATATGAAACACAATGGGACACAAAGGACATTTTGTTTTATTATACATATATGATATCCGCTAAATACATATCATATAAGATTGA